TTAAATTAGATCTTCTACCAGCTATTCACAAAGTAAATTTAACTTCATTTTATTTTTTACTTTTTAATTTCATACCATTTAAAAGAAGGTTTATCAGAAAGAATTTTCTTTAAAAAAAAACATATTCACTTCGATTTGTTAGCGTTTCTATCAATAGAGTATATCAATCTCACTTTATTTATGTTATCGTTTCTTGAAATAAATTTATCAAAATAAATTGGTATCGAGAGAGATTTTTAGAAAAACAAAATAAAGTAAAAATTTCTCTTTTAATATGTCAATAAATGAAATTTTTAATTAAAATATCTAAATAAACTCTTAAATAAATAATTTATGTTCAAATTAAATAAATGAATGGATAAAGATAAATTTGTTTTCGATGATAAATGCATTATTAAATATGATTAGTCAACTGAATTAAAAAGTGGTATGATTGACAAAAGAATAAATGGTGATATCAATGAAACACTTGTTTATGATGGTGTATCATTAGATGATATCAATTATAAATCAGTTAAGTAAGATAATATTTATTGAAATAAAACTAGTAATGTTGTTTTTTAATTTAAAAAACACCAAATAAAAAGATTCTTGGTCTATGATAAAGATTCGTCTGTTAATCACTTTCTTGGTGAATATCGTTTTAAATTATCAACAATTCAATCTGATCAATATCAGATTTATTCGGTTTATTTACAAAATAAAACTGATGTAAGTATTTATTATATATATATCTTTATAATATTCATTTATTGTTTTAATTCGTTTTGTGATTAACTGCTATCCATTTTAAAATCGAAGGCGAGTGATTACGAGTCGAATAACTCGGGAACGGAAGCAGCTATGGAAAAATTTCATTGATCAGTAATGGACCAATAGGATAAAAATCTGCTGGATATTTTGAAGATAGCTTTTGGAACGCTTTTTTCGTTGGATTTTGAACTTGAATTAAATCATTCAATAGAAAAAATTGTTCTTTTTCGATCTACACAAGGCCAAGCTCGATAGCTTGCTCTGTTCGATAGCTATAAGCATTTTCCTGAGATCTCCGAAATCGGCCAAGTGACGTGTAATCACACTTAAAAGCGTTACATTATAGGTAATATGACCACGCTGAATTCAGTGATGATGTTTGTTTTTTGTTTCAAAGTACTCTGAGATCACTGTATCGAGATTTTCAATATACGTGTTGTTTAAATCAAATAGCAGCAAAAACTAGATTTACGAAAACTTTTGTATAATGATCTCAGAGTACTTTGAAATAAAAAACAAACATCACCACTGAATTCAGCTGGTCGATTACCTATAATGTAATGCTTTTAAGGGTGATTCCGCGTCACTTGGTCGATCTCGAGGATCTCAGGTAAATGCTTATAGCTACCAATCAAAATCCAACGAAAAAAGCGTTCCAAAAGTTATCTTCAAAATATCTTCTTAATGGTGAAAATCGCAGCTCCATAGTTGCTTCCGTTCTCGAGTTATTCGACTCGACCTTCTATTTTGAAATGGATAGGAGATATAATGAAACATATGTTGGATAAATAGCATTGATTTGTTATTGTAAAAATTTATTAGTATAATTGAAATAAATTTCGATAAAATAAAAAGTATTTAAATGTTTGTTTTTGAGATATGTTCGATTAAATATTGAAAAATTGAAATAAAATTGTTTTAGTGTGAAAATGATGAAGATATAAATGAACGTGGTAAAATTTTAATTAGTCTTATGTATTCAAATGAAACATCAAATTTTCATGTTAAAATAAAACGTGCTTGTTATTTATTACCAATTGATACTGATCGTAAATCAAATCCTTATTGTCAATTATGTTTATTTTCATTTGATCATGTATCGAACAAATTAAATTTTAAAACAGATATTAAAAACCAAACTTTGAATCCACAATTTAATCAAGAATTTATTTATAAAAATATTCAATTAAAAAAGTTAATTAAAAAAACATTGCAAATAACTGTTTATGATAAAGATTTTGGAAAAAAAGACAATTTTATTGGTAACTAGATTTTATCTATTTATTAATAATTCTCTCGACTTCTTTGTTTTTGTGTACTCAAAAAGTGAGTACACTCTAGAATCGGTCAGTATGTCCGGCCGGCCGTTAACACGATAACTTTCGAAAGGAGAGTCCGATCGCGATGAAATTTTCTACACAGTTCAGTCTTAACAATATCTCGGTCGAGTTCGAAGATGAGAAGGATTGACCGAGCCCTTCCTGAGTTATTGCAAAAATACTCATTTTTCCCTGCACCTTCCCTATGGAAAGATCGACCCATCCCCACTTTCGTAAAAGACTTTTCCTATCATAGTCAACTAAAACCCCAACTATTATATACCATTCGATAGAGAATTTTACGAGCTACAAAATGGTATATAAAACATAAGGAAACAAGAAAGCCAACTCAGCTATTGCAAAGATAACTAATCGGAATTCGGTTCTGTTTTTGTCACGCTCTAATTGATCCACAAATAGAGCTCTATCTTTCGATCACAGAGATGATAGTTCGAGGTTTTCTGGGGTGGAGAACTCGAATCTGTGCTCTATTCGCCTCGAAATCCCATTGGTTGAACAGTAACCAATAGAAATCAAGTTATAGGAAAAACGACTTTCTTAGGGTAAACCAAGGTGAAGAGTTCAAATCTGAGCTGTATTCATCCCCAAATCCTATTGGTTGAGCAGTAGCCAATAGAAATCAAGTATTTATAGATAAGATTTGCCAGAATAATTTTTATATCCCCATATTCAAGAACGACTCATCTGTCTCATTCACTTTTTGAAGTACACATAACTCTCGGATCTAAATCCGAAGTTTCCGCATTTATTTTGTCTTCAATATAGAAACAAATTAGATCTCAAATATGAGAATTCGAACTCTAATATTGAAGTTTATTTATTAGAAATAAATCATTTTTACTTGAGTAAATAATTGATTATTAAATGTCTTATTTTATTAAATTTGATTAGCGATAGTTTAATTCAACAATTAAATAATACTTTTGTTTTGATAAGTCAAGAGATAAGAATTGAATATCAATTTATTTATTTATTTTAAAATAAATAACTAAATAAGATTTCTCTAATACTAGGTGGATTTCGAATAGGTCAATCAAAAAGTGGAGATTATTTGAAACATTGGTTCTTAATGATAAAATGGCCAAATCGGTCAATTGATATATGGCACAAATTAAAAAATGAACATTTTTATTGATTATTAACTAAAGAACATTTTTCAAAACATATTTATATGATCAATTATTTAATTATCAAATTTTCAATGGAATTCGCCAAAAAAAAACAAAATAGATCGCTGTTTCGAATAAGAATTTATCTTCATTGAACAATAATCCGTCTTAACAATAATATATTCCAATAAATGTTCTTTATTATGTTTCTTTTCTCTTTTTACATTACTATTCACTAAAAACAATTTTCTTTATTCCCCTTTAACATATATATCTTTTTCTCCGTTATTATTTTATTCGACATATTATATCCTAACGTTTATTTATCAATAATATATATGATCTATTCCGCATAAGTCAAGACCTACTCTACACAATCGACGTCGTCAGAGTTTGCTTAATTTTATATATGTTGTAGAGGCAAGAGTTCTTACAATTTTGACGCAAGTCATTTGAAAAAATATTGTCCTATTCTCGACATATTTAAATTTTTCTCAGGTCACCATCGCCAAAAAAAACGTACATTTTTTGTGATTTTCTATGTCTCATCAAATATACATGTCTTTAACTTGAGATTTTTACTGTATGTTGAATTGATCAATACTACAAAGTACATGACAAAATGGTTATTTTTTAAATATTTTGTGCCTTTGCATATTTCATGAACGGATAAAACCAGAGAGCTAAAATTTTGGCCACAATGAGTTCTCATTCTTCTAAAAAATTCAGCTCTCTAGATAGTTCCTACCATTCAGGAGACTTTCATCAAAAACTTGGTTCAGATTAAAATCGCGATCTTGAGAGAGTCCAATCCAGAACAAAATCAAATTTATAGAAGTCAGTCTCATGTAGATTTAAAGTACCTACTGAGTACTACAGAGTTATGAAAAAAAACTGACGTGCGATCTCAAAGAATGATTTTATGAGACTTATTGAAAAATCTTCAACAATGAACCCTTTTCTATAGGAAATTTACCTAAGCTCGCCAGAATAGTATCCTGCAAAAAATTTCAATATCTCAAGAACGGAAGAACGATTTTTTTTCAAACGGCTTGCATCAAAATTCTTGATACTCCCACTCCTACAACACATATTTAATTGAGTAAAAGCGAATGAGCTCGATCGAGCAAGTTTACAGGTTTGTTTGGCTATTTTCTTTATCTTTTAAAAACGAATTGAAATAAAATAGACGAATGCTCATCAACAATGAGTACAATGGTTGGCGAACTTCACATCGTCCATTATCAATAAACCTAAATCGAGGTCGTTTCTTGTCAAACAAGTAAAAGTAGTATGTGTTGAAATTATTCAACAACAAGTATCGATAGTACAAATGATTCAATTCCTCACGATAAAAACCATATTAGATTTGTTTTTTTATCTTTTATCATATTATACAACAAAAAAAATTTATTAGAAATTTTTCTAGAAGTCAGATCATGTTCACAATTCCTGTTCTGATTCGAATATGTTTTCTAATGTTAGATAGATATGTGGCTATTACCCTACCTGCTATTTCTTGATGCTTTAATAAAAATAGTATTTGATTCAATTTTAACTTGGTTCTTTTAAAAATATTTTCTCGGCAAGACAGTGATGAAGAGAGTAATCAACAAGAGACGGATGTGAGAGTGTAATTAGGCGTGAGTATTTTCTTCTTCACATCCACACCCAAATAATCGTTTGATAAGTGGAAACGTCATAAAAGGAATAAAAAAATAAAATAAAGAAAACTCAATTCAAATGCCTATCGTTCACTTTTACTTCTATTAATGTTTATAAAGAATATCTTTATTAATTTGATCAATCGATGTTAATCCACAACAAGCCATATCATAAACTAATTCATGTTTTAATATATCTGATACTCTTCGAACACCATCTTGTCCGCCACAAGCCAATCCATATAAAATTGATCGACCGATCAAAACAGCTCGTGCACCTATTGCTAATGCTTTTAATACATCAGTTCCACTTTGAATATCAGTATCAACAAATACTAAATAAATAAAGAATCGTTTGGTGACTTTCGTAAGAAAAATTCGAAGTTTCATTCCTATATACACTTTTCTCTTTTACATATCAAGTTAATGGTGAAAAAAATTTCTTAAATTTGAATTATATCGACTGCGCCAAAATATTTACAACATTTTTTATCTCAGCATAGGTGAATGATAGAATCTTGATCTTTTTTTGAAAAAAGGCGTCGCGAAATACTTCACAAACATTGTATAAGCAGCAATTTCTACTGACAGGCTCTGATGGTTTTTCTCATACTCAAAATGTACAACTTACATGATAGTACTACTTCCCATCGTGTCGAGCATAATAAAAATGTTTGGAAGATTCTTTTAAAAATTATTTTACGTATGCCTAGGCGAAAGAAAATGATAACATCTTGCTTTTTTTAACGATGAACCGCCGAAAGCTCTATAAAAGCTGTATTAACAAATCTTTAGTGCGAAACAAAAAAATCTTCCATACATTTTTATTACCTACAATATGATGCAAAGTAGCACTATTATGTAGATTGTACATTTGTTATATGGGAAAACTCATTAGAACATGTCAGTATTGATTTGTTAATACAAGTTTTGTAGAGTTTCTCACGGCGCATTTTTAAAAAAAAAGATCAAGATTTTATTATTTTTCTGTGCATAGATATGCACAAAACAAACTATTTTGGCATGTTCGGTATATCGTTTATTTGTTGTTGGTGATGATAAAGCAGTAAATTTTAATTTCGCAATCCTTTTTGATGAAATAGAAATACCATCGTTTATCGATTTGCGGTTCAGTTTTTGTCATAAGATTTTTATCTAATGAGTTTGATACTTCAATAATAATCTAACTCTTGCACGTCAAAACATTACGCATATAATATTATTTTCTTAGTACCTCTGTTTAAACAAATACTTTATATAAGATTAGTTAATGTAATTATAATTAATGACTTTAGTGACTTCTTTTATTGGTTCAAAATATTGCTAACAGCCAAATATTAAAAAAAAACGAACAAAAATCAACCCCTGAAATGAGGAGATTTTCGGTCAGGAGACAAGTCCAAAAATCAGAAGATTTAGCAAGCTTGAGTTACTCTAACAATATAGAGAGTTTAACCAAATCAACGGCTTTTTAAAAAGGAAGCAGATAGATAACTTTTCTCATCTTAACTATGTCGAGACGTTTTAAAAAACTTTATTCTGCCTAAGATTTGATATCTTAAGAAGACAGTTTAAAAATCTGTTAGATTTTTTCCAATTGTCATTAAAACAAGCCTACCTTCTGCACGTCCATCTACAGCATTGATGACATCTTCTAGACATTGAATAGCTGGTGGTGCTGTATCAATTAGTCGACCACCATGGTTACTAAAACGAATAATAGCGAAAGATATATTCAGTTAACTGATTATATACAAAGCAGACCTGACAATAATTCCATTTGCTCCATATTTAATTGCTAATTCTGCGTTAATTGGTGAGAGTATACCTTTGCAAATAATTGGTAATTGTGTCAATTTTCTTATCCATTCAATATTTGCCCATGTTACCCAACCGGTACCAAAACGTTGCTTAACAATTGTGTCAGGTATATTCAAATTTGGTATTGACATATTCTTCATTAATTCTGGATCAATATTCTTTTATGCTTCTTCAAATAATGGTAATACAAAATCTCGAATACGTTCATGTGGTTGATCACATGTAATAACAATTGCTCGATATCCTTTTTTATCAGCTTGTGGAACTATTTTTCTACAGGTGTTGTTAAATAAATACGTAAAAATTTTGGATCTAAGATTATTAAGTACATTGAAG